AAATTTACGTTGAAAAAAAACCTGAAATTTTTTAAATTTTTTTTTTTTTTTTTTTTACCTGCTGGAGTAATTAGTGTTTGTGTTTGTTTGTTTGTTTGTTGTTGTTCTAGATGAATTTGTTTAATAGTTGTGTTTCTGTGTCACTTTGAATATTAAAAAAATATTCTTCTGACAGTTGTGGAGTTATACAGAAAACTGAATTAAATGATCAGAAACTTCTTTCAGTCTTTCGATATTTGTACTGAACTACAGTGAAGATGTTTAACTTAGGCCAGGAGTAATAGAAAATTAAAAGACAATAAAATTAAGGTCAAGGTGTAACTCTTCAGCACCACGGACAGAGACAGAGATGGGTCGGTCATGAAATGTTTGTACTATATCACAGAGAGATTTCTCTCACAAAATGAAATTCTGATGTGATTCTTACAGAAGTATTTTCTGCAAACTGCTGGGTGTTTTCAGGCCTTCTGGGTTCAGACTGACCATAACATGCAATGAGGCTTTAGAATGAGGAAGAAGCTTCACAGGTGGAGAATAATGGCTTACAAAATGTTTACAGACAAATGAGTTTGCATAAAAGGCCTTAAGATATAGCTTAGCATTTTTACATTTATAAAAGTTTATCATTTGCAACTGCATTGTCTTTGCATCAGCACTGTTACTTTTAACAGCCTTATTACATGTCAAAGGAGAGGAAGTAAAAACTAATAATGTTTCTCTCTGTTACTCCACACATTTACAGTCTACACTATTTACTTACTTTGTTCTTCTCATATCAGGATGAGATCACTGTTGGCGCAAAATCTGATGACTCATGTTTCTCTCTCTCTTTTTCTGATTGGCTCATGCAAACACACACACACACACACACACACACACACACACACACACACACACACACGCACTCTCTCTCTCTCTCTCTCTCTCTCTCACACACACACACACTCTGAAAGAACCCACCATTTAGTTTTGAGAAGTTAGACTATTAACTGAAGGGCACACTGTTGTTTCTTCTGTCATCTCACATCTAAT